ATAAAACTAACCTAGATCTGTGTGGATTTAATCAGTGGTCTGAGGATCAAAAGTGCCATTTATTTTTACAAGAGAGAAAACTGGAGAAGTACCAGTCAGGCTGCAGCTTAGCTGCCACTTGGCACCTGTGAGCATTCGAAGAGCAAATTAGTCCTTTAACCTACAGTGTCAGGGCCACAAAGGCAGACAGCCGGGAAAGGTGGTGCTTACCAGTGAGGCGGACGATGGGACCCATGTGGTGGAACGAAAGAAAGAATTCCTGCAAGTTGTCTTCTGAATTCCATATGTGTCACACACACACACACACACACACACACACACACGTGTCACATACACGTCATACACACACACTTGTGTACATGTATGCACACATTTCTGCACACATACATTCTTGTGTGCATACATACCTTGTGTGTGTGTGTGTGTGTGTGTGTGTATACATACATACACTCCTTCACAAATCCCACACACAAATAAATGAAACGTAAAACCAAAACATCCAGCCCTTTAAAAAGTTACACAAATGACTTAGTCTCCTCATATCTTTTTTTCTCCTCTCTAAAGTGAGGGGGATGAGCATAAAAATAACCATATAACTTGGAGCTACTAGAGGGACATGACAAGTTTAGCACATCATTTCCAAAGAAGAACAAAGTTGTCCAACTATTTGGGCTTTAGAATTAAATAAAAGAGTGTGCCAGCCAGTGGTGGCACATGCCTTAATCTCAGCACTCAGGAGGCAGAGGCAGGTGGATCTCTCCCAGCCTGGTCTACAAGAGCTAGTTCCAGGATAGCCTCCAAAGCTATGGAAAAACCCTGTCTTGAAAAATCAAATAAATAAATAAATAAGAAAAAAGAATTAAGTAAAAGACAAATACTAGGATGAATTTATTCTTAGGAATAGTGGAATTCCATAACATCTAGCATAGTGTGTTCCTGGTGTGACCTACCTAGAGGTCCAACTCTGTCTGGAACAATAAGTAAAAACTACTTGTCAATGCAAGGCAGAGAACTTGGTGGGGAAACTTACATAACTCTGGCCCGAAGACGTAGTGCCACTTGGAGGAGTGGGAAAGGAGCCAGACACTGAACAAGTAGACCATGGAAGTGAGAGAACCATGCAGACACAATCTTTCCACACATCCTGGTGTATTGTAAAACTATGCATGTATGAGGGGCTAGCAGGAAGCAATGACAAAGTAGAATGAGGAATTGACTAAGCTTATTATCCCAGTAATTCCAGCACTTGGGGGGCAGGGACCAAAGGATCACAGATTGGAGACCAACACGATCAAGACCCTGATCCCAAATACAAAACAGAAGACAACCTCGGCTGAGCCTTGAATATCCCATTTCTACGATAGAGAGTTTTGAACAAACTTGCCAAGACACTGAAACAGCTGTTGAGACACAGAGTGATTTCCCAGAAAGCCAAGCTAAAGGACAAGAGGACACCAAGGCCACAGATTCTTGCACTGTAGGGAACAGAGATTCTATATGGAATAGGCAAGGTAAAAATAAAAAGGCTCAAGGAGTCCACTTATTACCATATTACCTGAAATACTTAGTTTTAAACAATTTTGAAGAATTTTAAAGAATGTGAGTCAAACTGAGGGAAAAGACAGACTTAGGAGAAACTGACTCTAAGTGGCTCCAAATAGACCCTGCCAAGACCTCGAAAGGATCACTGTAAGCAATGGATAAAACAGAACACTGTAAATAAATAAGGAAAGGAAATGTTCAATAATTAGAGGAGAATATTGACACATTGACCCAACTGGTGGGAAATCTCAATAATGAAAGAGAAGATATGAAATCTCACTGTTTCTGATGCTGTTGTAAATAGAAATTGTTTAATATTATCTTTAGAATACTAATATTAAAAAATTTTTGTGGTTATTAGTCTTTATGTTTTCTCTTTGATTTATTGTATTTAACATCACAGCATCTGTGATTAGATAACTTTTTTAACTTTTATTTATGCGTCTTTGTGTATGTACCATGTGTTTACCATGTGTGCAGGCACCTGTGGAGGTCAGAAAAGGGTTTTGGGCCCCTACATGTCTTATTTCCTTCCAGAAACGATAGTTTTCTTTCTTTTCCTTGCTTCCATTGGCCTGGCCAGAGCTCCAGTGGAACGTTACATAGAAGTGGTAATGTACGTACATGGCTTGTTCCTGGTCTCGGGGAAAATCTCCTAGTGCAGGCGGTGCATCAGTTTATAGGCGGGGTTTACCTCGATTGTAGTCTGTCTTAATCGAGAAATGGCTTTATTTTGGTAAGTGCCTTTTCTTGCATCAGTTGGGACATTTATTTATTTTTTTAAACTTTGACCTTATCGGTCTGTTATATTACATGAATTTTGCCCCCACATGCTGGCCTGTCCTTACTTTCTTAGGATACATCTAATTTACCCTTGGACTATATGATCTTTTTACTATGTTGCTGGATTTAATTTTTTAAAATCTGTTTTTACAGGCAGGCCTTAGTGGAGCACTCCTTTAATCCCAGCACTCGGGAGGCAGAGGCAGGTGGATCTCTTTGAGTTTGAGGCCAGGATAGGCTCCAAAGTCACAGCGAAACCCTGTCTTGAAAAAAAAAAATCTGTTTTTACTTACTTATTTTATGTGTGGGTGTTTTGTCTGCATGCATGTCTGTATCCCACATGTGTCTGGAGCGCTCAGATGCCCTGGGCAGATGTCTTTGGTATCATAATTCTGGCCTCCTAGAATGAGTTAGGAAGTGTTTCGTTATTCTATTCATAGAAGAATTTAAGATGGATGCTTTTTAATTCACTTTTAACCTAGTCTCTGAAGTCATTCAGTTACTATAACTCAAAGGTCCCATGTCATCAGTCGGTAACAGGTGTCACAGACCCTGGAAGAAAGCAGGTTCTAAACGGTTAAATTTTTATTTCTGGCCACTTTGAAGGCAGTTTTGTCTGACAGTTTTGAGTTCATCCTGTGGATTTTGAGCTAGTAAGTCAGTCTCAGGGAAGAAGGCACAGTGCAGACTCTCCTTCCTCTCCCTGAAGTTCTCTGCTCTCACCTTTCGATGGTCCTGGTGGATATTCCCTTCAGTTATGGTCTAATTCAGTCCCAGCATTTTCTTCTGTTTCTGTAATTTCTACTTTTTATAAATAGCCTCTGAGGAGACATCTCTGGGCTCCTTAACTTTTGTTTTCCTGTTTTTTTTTTGTTTTTTGTTTCAGTGTTGAGTCTTGAACTCTGGGCTGCACACACAATGGGTGTGCGTTTTTACCCGAGGCGCCTTCCAATCTCTTGCATAGCTCTTTGCTCATGATTTCCTTTAGCTCTTTGGGTATACTGAATGGTTGATTTGTTGTGTTTGTTTTAGGCTTCTTTGTGTGTAGTTTCCAATGACTTTTGTTGATGGGCCTTCTTGTTCTGTGTCTCACTTACATGCACATATTTTATCGAATAGCTTATGTTTATTTGATTATATGTTATATTTAAAGTTGGCAGTCTGAGTATTCCGGTGTTGCAGTTTTGAGGATTAGATTTTCTCCCCTTTAGGGAATATTATTGATGCTGTGCTTGCCAATTTTGTTACTGACTATTGCAAACTAGTTCTTGAGATCATTGTTCCATGTAGTGTGAGTCCCTGAAGTTTCTTCTGAGGTTAGTAATTCAGTAGTTGTTTGACAGAGATGCCTTCATGCTGAAACTTGGCTGCTTTTTTTTTCTTGATTAAAATGAACCACTTACTAATTTATAAAATTGTAATAGAATTAGTGTTGACAGTTTTGTCAATTTTTTTTGTGAGGGAATCGACTTTTGGATTGAACTTTTCCATCATTTTTTGTTAACAATCTCATGTTTCTGAATAACTGTTCATCAAGGAGGACATCACAGCAATTTTGGAAATATTGTGAATGAAGAAAATGAAAACTGATACAGAAAGCATTGTGGGACACAGCTAAAGTAGATGAGAAGGAATTCATAGCTTTAAGTGCATGTAAGCTATACAGTGGATTTCATGAACTGCTGCCAGGTTGTATAAAGTTTTATTGGCACACAGCCTTGCAGAATGTGTGTGACACTTACTTTTGTGGAAGGGAAGGTGGAGTTTCTGCCAGACAGAGATGGAGATTTGTGCTGCCTTGTCGTTTGCGTGACTAAGCGTGTTTCTGATGAGTTTTGTTGTAAACAGTGACTGCACAGGACTCAAACTCTTGAGGTCAGAGATTTCTCCCCTCTGGTTCTTTGTTCCTTTTTGGAGTTTTAAGACTCTGCATAGCTGTCATGTTGCAGCTTTGCCACAGAGGCAGCATTTGGGCCTGATACAGGAGAAGAGAGAAGAGAGAGAGAAGCAGGGAGGGAGGGAGGGGGAGAGAGAGAGAGAGAGAGAAAGAGAGAGAGAGAGAGAGAGAGAGAGAGAGAGAGAGAGAGAGAGAGAGAGAAGGAGAAGCAGGGAGAGAGAGGATGGCCATTTTAGCCTGTGTCTTCAACTTCTGAGTCACAAGCAGGTGTTTTGTGGGGTGTCCAGCATTAGATGTATGTCTCTCAGCATTAGACAAGTGTCTAGGAGATCATGAGGGACAGTGCGTCTAAGTTGTGTCTAAAGGTTCTTATGCTTCCAAGGTCAGGCAAAAACTTGAAAGGACTCTAGTCCATCTCTTTACTTCCTAGTCTTTCCTGTTCATAGGCTTAGGCATGTTTATCATTTGTTGGCTTGTACTCGTAATGTGTGTTACTACAATGGAACAGAAAGGTTCAGACGTTAGTATCATTCTGATTTCCTCCCTTCCTCTCCTTACCTAGAAGACAGTGCCATTTCCTGTTATGTACACACCAAATGTGTGTGTATATAAGTTCAAGTCATCACACTTGCTCTGCAGGGTGGCCTCTGACTGGCTTTTTGGTGTTGTTCACTGTATTCAATCTATATTCAATATTGGCCTTAAGCCGCTAAGTTTGACATATTGCTGTGCCTTGGAAAACATTTACCACATGCATGGTTTCTTTTGTAATTCACAGATATTTTCCAATTTGTCCTTGGATGAACGTTGCCTTTCTGCCTCATTGGTCTGCAAGTACTGGCGTGACCTTTGTTTGGATTTCCAGTTCTGGAAGCAGCTGGATCTTAGCAGTCGTCAGCAGGTATGGAGTTGAATTCTATTAAACCCTTGTTTGCCCTGCTCAGTTGAAAAAACACTTTATTCTCTTTTTAAATGGCTGTAATCTACAATGGCATTTCCTTCCTTCCTTCCTTCCTTCCTTCCTTCCTTCCTTCCTTCCTTTTTGCTTTTTTGAGGCAGGGTTTCTTTGTGTAACAGCTCTGGATGTCCTGGAAGTCACAGAGCTCTGCTTGCCTCTGCCTCTCCAGTGGTGTGTGCCACTGCCCCGCTGAATGCTTTCTTTTTAAAAAAGTTTTCTAAAAAGTATTTTTTAAAAGTGTGCTCACACACACACACACACACACACACACACACACACACACACACACACACGCGGTGTGTGTATCTAAGTTCAAGTGACAGCTACATTCCATGGTGGAAAGTTAGCTTCTAATGTAGACTGGTTGTTATTCTTTTGCTTAAATTAGAAAAAGGCGCAAGATGAGACATGAGAACAAGAGATACACTAACCATAGTTTATTATAGGCCAGCAGAGCAGAGAGAGTAAGAGAGAGGAGGGAGGGAGGGAGGGAGGGAGAGAGAGAGAGAGAGAGAGAGAGAGAGAGAGAGAGAGAGGGAGGAAGTAAAGGGAGGAAGAGTAAGAGAGAGAAGCCTAAGAGAAGAGAGTGTAAGTGGGTGGGGTCTGTCTTTTAAAGAATCCTTTACACCTTCGAGCAGACTTAGTTCCCATGGAACCCTGGGCTGACCAGGGTACTGCCTGAGTGGATTCTGCCAGGTAACAGGGCCAGCATAATGCCTGAAACTTTCACTGGTAGCTGTGATTCCTCCCTCCCTTACCCCCCCAAAACTAAAATCCTGCCTATCCTATGTCCTTTCTTCTAATCTACACCTGACTCAACCTTTGGTAGCTGTGATTCTTTCCTTCTCTCTGTTGTAGTCCTTTTCGTGTCTCCCTTTGTCATCCCATTTCAGAACCTCAAGCCTTTTCATTTAGGGAGCGGACATCTGCCCCTGTGCCGTGTGCTGTTCCATAGGATTCCATAAGGATCCATCCATCTCTCCTCAGCTTCAGTAGGAGATGCTGTTGTTTTATGTTTGATGGTTACAGAAATGGAAGTTAATTGGGCTAAAATAACTTTTCAGAGAAAAACAAAAGAAATTACTTTTGGCAGCTTTTCAATTTTTCATTTGTTCAGTTGCTCAGTCTACTTACATGGTGGTGTAGATCGGGAAAACAGATGGAATTTATAGTGCTGATTGCAGACAGTTTATTAGAGTTCGTGGGCTTGTCCTTTAAATGGTAGATGGTATTTGGCTTTAGAAATACATGAAAACATCCAATAAAGACATGATCTGATTGGAATCCTAAACTGCTCTAAATCCCGCATGATACTTCCCACACTGGAAAGTATTTGATGACAGGAGATTTGTAATATTTGCCAATTATTAGTGTATGAATAACCCTGCTGTGGAGAGATCGATCCGCAGTCAGCAAGGCCAAGGTTTTCTTTATTCAGATAGACCATCCAAGCGCAAGCCAAAGGCAACCAGGCCAGAGAGAGGAGAAGGGAGCAGGGAGAAGAGAGTCTCCAAGTGTGCACCATCCCTTAAGAACCTTAGACTTTCCCCCTCACCACGCCCTTATGGGCGTGTCCCGGCTACTAGGAGGCAGGGCTACAGTGTCTCCCTACACCCTGCCATACCTTACTTCAGGCTACTCCTGTCAAGCTGTCAAGTGCACCAATGTGCACAGAGTATGATGTGCTAGGAGTAGGCTGTTGTGAGTTGGTCCAAGCAAGTGCTGACACAGCACTGGTGGTTTGTTTATGAACCACACTTTGTAAACAGGTTAAGCGAGTTCCAGAGCATTCACTCCTAATCCGTTCTGTCTTGCATTGATAAGAGGCTAAAACAGCTACAGAGCTAGCTACTTGTTTACTTGCTTGGGCTCCCAGTACAGCAAGAAGGGTGCAAATGAAGGTCAGGCAAGTAGGAGGTGATCCTAGCCTCCTCCTGACTGGGCTGTTTCCTCTAGGCTCTCAGTGAGCAGTTCCAAGTTCCTCTCAGCAGACATACACCCAGCAGTTGGTCTTCTCTTTCTGCATTATTTTCTCTTTCCCTTGTTTTTGTGGAAAGCAGTTGAATAACATTAGCTCTGATTTCCCTCTACATGTGGTGGGAACATGGCATGGCTGGCGTTTTATTATTATTTTAAATTCAGGTGGCCAAGTGAATTTTTTTGGTCCGATGAATTATGTTTACTTGTATTTTGTATTGACTCTCATCAGTAAAGTTTTCTCAAAGACATTTCTATAGGCTGTGATGTTTTGCTGCACAGTGATGCATTTTCTCAGCTATGAATTCACTACCTGTCTGGTAGCTGGAAAACTTGCAGTTTACATACTCTGCCATCGTCTGATGTCAAGTGTAAACATGGAGTTCATGGGGCTTTGAATGTAGCTCAGTGGTAGAGTGCTTTCCTGCTGTGGTCAGTTCTTAGCACCAATAACCCCCCCAAAAAAAAATCCCACACCAAACTAAACCAGAAATCAATTTGTATGTCATACTGATTTATATTAATAAATGCTTAGTTGTAAAACATTTTATATCTCAGTGTAGATTTGTTTGTAGTTTTTAATGAGCTTGAAGGTTTGTTTAAAGTGAGCCCCCCAAATGATTGATTTTTAGGGTTTTAATGAAAAGCCATGTGCATATTCTCTTTGTGTTCTGATACCACTTCTAGTACCAAATCCGTGGAGTTTACTGCACACTAACAGCCAGAGTTTCAATAGAGACCATGTGCCCAGCATTAGTCTGTCCTGGTCCTGCAGCCCTGCCTCCCCTCACAGGCCACTTGCAGATCCTAGGAGCAGCTATTCTACAGCAAGAAGCTAAGAGCTAGGGTGCCCCAGCTGTCACCTCGGGCTGAGTTCAGGAAAAGATACTACTTATCTTTTCTGATTTATAATTAAGGATACGATCAGAAGTATCCACATGGAAAAGTTACAAGTCAAGATAGGGATATTCCAGTCTTTAGAACTTCAGTGTTACTATTAAATAAGTTTTTGCTGAAGAGTTCTAACCTAATCTCCAGCAAAATTTTGTGTCCCCTGTTTGAAGTCAGAGAGGGATGGCAGATCTACTTTCTGATCTCGAACTTAGTGTTTGTTCTTCTTACCGGAGTTTGAACCCAGGACAATGTCTAGTGCTACTTGTCTAGTCTTTATAGTAACCACACTTCATCCTGAAGCTGCCAAGGAGCCCACTCTCATTCACCTCTTTGCCATGTTCACGGGGGCTCATAGGGACTTATTAGGAATCATAATGTTACCACAATTGTGGTTATACTTTAGAGGAACTCTTTTTAAAAATTATTTATTTATTTATTTATTTATTATGAATACAATGTTCTGTCTGCATGTATTCCTGCCTGCCAGAAGAGGGCGCCAGATATCATTGTAGATGGTTGTGAGCCATTATGTGGTTGCTGGGAATTGAACTCAGGACCTCTGGAAGACCAGTTAGTGTTCTTAACCACTGAGCCATCTCTCCATCCCCGAACGTTTTTCTTTTAACTGTGTTTTTCATACTGTAATACAATCATTACTTATTGGTAGAAATAATACAAAGTAGATTCCCACTTTCAGCAAAGTTTAATTTCTTATGTCCTTTTCTCTCATAGGTCACTGATGAATTATTGGAAAAAATTGCATCCAGAAGTCAGAATATAATTGAACTCAACATTTCTGACTGCCGCAGTATGTCTGACACCGGAGTGTGTGTTTTAGCATTTAAGTGTCCTGGACTCCTTAGGTACACAGCCTACAGGTGTAAACAGCTCTCTGACACCTCCATTACTGCGGTTGCCTCTCACTGTCCTTTACTGCAGAAAGTACACGTAGGCAACCAGGACAAACTTACTGATGAAGGACTCAAGCAGGTAAATACACAGCATTTATCGAGTGATTTCACACACTAATTTAGAAACTGGTACCGCAGCAGGAGATTGAAACGTGGCATTGCAGATGCTGAGTGGAGAGTAAAGCCAGCCGTCTTTCCTATGCCTGTTTGCTTCGGCAGGTGTTGACACCAAATGTGTCAGTGTTGCTGTGCTTTACACCTGGTGTCTAATGTCTGTGACTAGCCATTTATTAACTCCTTTTTAAAGTAGAATTTTTATTTATTTTTTAAGTGGGCCTATACCAGATTTTGCTTTAAGTTACAGTATTCATTCAATTTGGGTCAGGATAAATTTTTAAAAGTTAACTTTCCTTTCATGTTATCAGATGGCATATTTTAAACATGGTTTAAAATACCAGTGTTCAAGGTAGCCTCTCCATTATTGCTCACATTCTTAGTTGGGTCATCCTTGTGCATTCCTGGAAGTTTCCCTAGTGCCAGGTTTCTTGTTAAGCCCATAATGTCTTCCTCTACTGAGGTATCTCTTTCCTTGCTCTCATCTGCTCTTCCCCCAACTCGAACTTCCTGATCTCTCATGTTCTCCTCCCCTTTCCCTGGGGAAACCCACAGAAACAGCTGACCTGAGCAAGTGGGAGCTCACGGACTCCAGACTGACAGCTGGGGAACCTGCCTAAGACCAAACTAGGTACCCTGAACGTGGGTGTCAGTTGGGAGGCCTGAGCAGTCTATGGGGCCTCTGGCAGTAGAACCAGTGTTCATCCCTAGTGCATGAATGTGCTTTGGGAGCCCATTCCCTATGGAGGGATACTCTCTCAGCCTAGATACCCTAGGGAGGGCCTCAGTCCTGCTCCAAATGATGTGACAGACTTTGATGATCCCACAGGGGAGGCCTCACCCTCCCTGAGGAGTGCATGGGGGGGTGGGATGGGGGGACAGTGGGTGGTGGGACTGGGAGGACCGGAGGGAGAGGGAACTGAGATTGGTATGTAAAATAAGATTGTTTTTAATTTAAATAAAAATAATTTAAAAATAAAATACCAGTGTTTTAAGATATAAATGGAAATTCAAATTAAAGAGCATAAAATAAGAAAAAATGGTAATTACCTATATTTGGCTTACTGATTGGAAATAAATCGGCTCAGTAGTACACTCCATTGATGGAAATTTCTGTTCTGTCCTGTCCTGCAACTGTTTGTTCCCAAATAAACACATAGAGGCTTATATTAATTATAAACTGTTTGGCTGATGGCTCAGGCTTCTTACTGGCTAGCTCTCTCTTAATTATTAACCAGTTTTATTGATCTAAGTATTTCTACTTGGTCTTGGCTTACTAGTGATGCCTAAGCTTCCTGCTTTCTTGGCAGATACACGGCAGCTCCTTTGAGACTCCCTCTTTGTCTTCCTCGTCCCAGAATTCTCCTGGCCTGGTAGCCCCACCTATACTTCCTGCCTGGCTACTGGCCAATCAGCATTTATTCTTCAACCAATAACAAAAACATATTCACAGCATACAGAAGGACATTCCCCCATCTTTTCTATCTAAATAAAATGGAAAGTTTCAACTTTAACACAGCAAAAATATATATAACAAAAGAGTTATCAAGCAAGAACTATAGTTAACAATATTTAGTCTACTAACATTTGGCAAAATTTGAAGAAAATATTCCATCTATCTTATTTTTTGTGAGTCTAAAGTTTTGTATGTAACTTATCTTTTATCATAGCTAAGGAAAACCATAACCATAACTATCTGTCTTCAATTCCATCAAAGACCCCAGAAGGATAATATATAAACTCTAGAATTGACAGACATCTCTCTGCCTGATCAGTCACCCAAAGTTCCTCTGTAACGTTGGGGCATCCATCTTCAGCCCATAGACCACCATAGTGTCTGGCAGACTTTTTAATGAAATAGGAAATTTGAAGATCCGTTTTATCTTGTATTGGCAAAGTCCATCGTTTGCTTTCTTCTGTGAAGCAGGAACCCTAAACCATCCTGTCTCTTGGCAAGTTCTGCCGTCACTTTCCTTTGTAACCTGCTTGTCTGTCCAGTTTGGACAGTCATTTTTCACCTTTTTTGGAAGTTGCTTGCTCATACTTCCTGTTTCCTCAGTTAATATTATTTCCTTCTCTGGTCTCTGAGGGAGTTGAAGACTAGATAGTTAATAGTTTTCCTTGTTTACCAGACTCAGTAAAGAAACTCACTAAAGATGTGTTAAGTGTAGTAGGTTTGAAAGACATTAAAAGATAATTTGATAATTGAAAGCAAATTAGGCACAATACTTTGGACTCATCAAGAAAAAATACATATGGAGTATTTTCTCTGAATTTGTCTAATAGTAATGGGCTAGGCATTGTTGATATAGTTACTGTCTGTATATATTGTATATAGTTATTGTTGATATAGTTACTGTCTGCATATATTGTATATAGTTATTGTACTTACTGTATATAGTTTTTCTTATCTTAGTTATAACCTTTTTTAAATTTTAGACAAAAAAGGGGGATACGTGGTGATATCCTGCTTGTCTGAAGGTCAGAGAATGGAGCTTGCCATTAGCTAACCATAACATTTCCTTCTTCTGCTCTCCTTTTGGGATGGCATTGAACATGTCCTGACAGAGTGGCTTACTCATTCATGAAGGAAAGCTCCTTAAGTTGAAGCATTCTATGTGAATGTATTGAAAGTTGAGCACGAGGAGAGCTCTGGGGGACTGTCTTGAATAGAGTCTACTGAGTGTGACCATTCACTCTGTATTTCAAGGATGTCACCAGCTTACGTCATTGCTCAGGCATGCTATGAAGTAACACTTTTCCTTATTTTAATATTTTCTGATTCATTTCTACTTTGTATGGGTAAAACATTTTACAGTATTTTCTTTAATTCTTTCTTTCTTTCTTTTTTTTTTTTTTGGTTTTTCGAGACAGGGTTTCTCTGTGTAGCTTTGGAGCCTATCCTGGCACTCGTGCTGGAGACCAGGATGGCCTCAAACTCACAGAGATCAGCCTGCCTTTGCCTCCCAAGTGCTGGGACTAAAGGCGTGCGCCACCAACGCCTGGCCATTTTACAGTATTTTTAAAATCAATTAAATTACTCCTTTCTGGAGAAATACACACTTTTATGGCTGTACCATCATTTTATTTCTTATGATAGGATTTTTTCAGTGTTTCATATTGCACAGCCAAACATTTTTTAAAAGTCAGTTTATTAACAGCTGGGTCATCTTTACGTATTTAAGTGTCATGTAACACAATAGGATCACATTGGCAGTCTACTTGTGATGTTCTGAGTTATATTTGTGAAAAAGAATAAAATGAAGAAATTTCATACCATCCAGTATTCTCATTGAAATAGGAAAGCTGTCTGAGTATTTCCTCCACAGCTAATTTTGTTGATGACATAGAGTTCTCATAGTAGTGTAGATAGAGTTCCTACCATTTTCTATTCGTAACTGTTGTGTAGCAAGGTGTGGCAAGAGTTGGGCTGTTATATTAGAGTGCTCTGACTGACAGTGGTGTTACTGGTATAGTAGGGAGAGAATGGATTTTATGTACACATAAAGAGTTAAGGTTTAGTGTGCAATGTACCTTTGTTTCCTATTTTATTCTTTATTACTGTGTTAAATAAAAGCCGCCTTTGACCCACCTAGTGAATTAATTTTATAGCCTACTGATATTTGATAAATTGCGGAGTGTATTTTGGTTTTAACAAACCAGTACTTTTATGAAGAGCTATTGAAGATTAACAGTTTTCTGTGATGATTATTTTTCCTTGAATTCAGTAACTTAGCAGTTAATTGACTTTGTTGATTTAACCCCCTTCTGACAATAAAACTGACAAGTGGTTCAGAAATGTACACATGCATTTTATTTATAATGTGTTTGAAATTCTTTTCTTCATAAGTGCTACAATTTATTGATAATGTGTTTGAAATTCTTAAGTGCTACAATTTTGAGTGGTTTTAGCAGACATAGAATGTATATGTTTTTTGAATTACTTTTTTAAAACAATTACTTAAAGCATTTCAATTTAAAGCTCTAACAGATCAAGACTATGATATTTTAAGTATTGAATTCTGCTTGGTAATGTTTTTCAGACTGTAGTGATGTACTTAAAAGTTAGGTTGTTTACGAACAGGTTTTTTTCTTTCATTTAGTTTGAGTGTGTGTGTGTGTGAGTGTGAGTGTGAGTGTGTGTGTGTGTGTGCACGCACATGCCACAGTGTAGATGTGGGGAGGCTAGAGGGTACCTTGGGCTAGTTAGTTCTCTCCTTCTACCATGTGCGCTTCAGGGATCAAACTCAGGTAGTCAGGTTGAGTGGCTGGTGCTTGTACCCACTGGGCCTTCTTGCTGCCCTCCCCCTGCTTAAATTAGTGTGTGTGTGTGTGTGTGTGTGTGTGTGTGTGTATGTGTGTGTGTGTGTGTGTGTGTACGCACACATACCATGGTACAAAGGTGAAGGTAAGAGGATGACTTGCAGGAGTCACCTCTCTCCTGCTCTCATGTGGGTCCCAGAGACCTTGGGCCACCAGGCTTGGTGGCAAGCACCTTTACCTGCTGAGTTCTCTTGCCAACACAAGTTGGGCTATTTTGACCAAACATTATCTTCTTTATAAAATACCATATTTTGAATATTGATATTTGTGTCTCCATAGAAATCATGTCATATAATATTATCAATGGAAACATTTTAGCCGTATGTTGTTATCTCTGTCTTACTTGTCTAATAAGACTATAAACATGAATCTGGAGGAAAGGTATTTGTCTTCAAGTAAGTGATTGTTAATTGTCAACTCATTAAAATAAATTTAAGAGTTATATCCATTGTTACTATTTTATGTGGCAGTCACAACACTCAGTTTGAGTCATGGAACTCAGATATTTCTGAAAATAAGCCACTGTTTTTTTTTTTTCCATATTAAAATAGTACTTAAATTAAATCATCAGTAAGTTTCAACCTGGCTGTGGTATGAGTTTTTTAGTTTTCAAAAAATCACTATTTGAGCCACAGACTATAC